ATCACGTTTGTCATTCAAGTACGGATATTACGGAGTTTTTTCTAGTATCCGAATTTTGCGTATCATATATGCTTACATCGGTGCTTTATACTCTGGGCAGACAAACACTCCGTTCCATGCATGAACGCTTACACAATCATAATCTGAAAAGATAACAAACCATTACACTGTTACCTATTAAATGTATATGTGTATGCCACTAGTGTAACATGTATTCCGTCGTTCAATACTAGACGGAGAGAAAAAAAAAACAAATAAAATGTTGGCTTCTGTTTCTAACACGGTAATTTAGTCTCCCAAACAAAGTTTGAAGACTTATTGGTTTTGCTCAGTTCTTATCATTATTAGTATTATTATTATTATGTCACCCTCAACGGAGTTAGGGTGACATATTGTTATTCTACGTTTCTTCTTTTTTTTATTATTTTTCTTCCATTTTTTTTGTCTGGAGCAGTTCTTGGAATGAAATGGACCAAAGTTGATGGAACTATGCTATAATGTTGACCACCATGTGAAGCTGTTCCTCTTGAATTTGGAATGTAAATGATGGCCACGGTTATCATAGAAACTAAACAAAATGTAGAACAAATTCAAAATTCGAAGTCTTTCATTATAAAACCAACTGGATGAAACTTCATGGTAATGTTACCTGATATGCCTAAATGTGAAGACAATATATAGAAAATTCCCAAATGGCCGCCATTGTCATAGAAACAGGGTGAAAGTTTAACACTGACCCTATGGGAAAACACATTAAAGCTGCATTTTCTTATATTACATTAAACTTAATTAAACTATATAGATATGTAACATGGCATATGCCAATGTGGCATCAGTCTTTGGAATTTCTGAAATGGTCACCGTTACCATGGAAACAGCAAAAATGTCAGAAATTTCAAAATGCTCCAAACTTTCTGAAAATTTACAGTAATGGTAACTGGCATGTGTAGATGCGCTGTTTCACTTTGGAATTTTCAAAATGGTGCCGTTACCCTGGCAGTTGGGGGACGAGGGTGCCATCAGTTACTGCTCGCAATAACAAATCTAGTTTTTATTATTTTTCTTCTTTTTTTTTTTTTCATCCGCTGCTTTCTCGTAGCTGAACTTGACCAGTGGATCTCGGGAACCGTTAGCTGCAAGTCGACGTACTTCATGGTACTGTGGGCTTATGTTCTTAAATTATCCTTAGTGTATAAGTTTTGCAACGTGTGAGAAGGAAAGTAATTTTGGGGGTCAAAACAGGGTGGAGTTTACTATAGAATTCTACGGGAAATTGGAAAAGAAAATCAAATGGTAACAACTAAAACTAATGAAAATAATGATAAGGGTTCTTCCGTAACATTTGGTAGAAATGCACAACGATGGTTTCATCGATGAAAAGACTCTAGAATATTTGAAACCAGAAAATCCAAAACCGGGCAGATTTTATCTTTTACCTAAAATTCATAAGGCCAACAACCCAGGAAGACCTATAGTTTCAGCAAACGGTCATCCGACGGAAAAAATATCGGAATTCGTTGACTTCCATCTTCGTCAACATGTTGAGGACTTACCATCTCACATCAAAGATACTACCGATTATCTTAGAAAATTGCAGGCCTTAAATCCACTCCCCTCCGACACGACACTTGTCTCTATGGACGTCACCTCCCTCTACACGAATATTCCACATGCAGATGGCATTGATGCATGTAAAGAAGTTTGGAATTCCCGACCAGTGAAATATCCACCTACTGAATGCCTGGTCAAAATGCTCACGCTGGTACTCAAAAACAACAACTTCACTTTTGATGGAGACCATTATCTGCAAGTTAATGGAACTGCTATGGGCACCAAAATGGCTCCATCATATGCCAACATATTTATGGGCAAATTAGAAAAACAACTCCTTGAATCTTCCATCGAAAAACCGCTTTCCTGGTTTAGATTTATAGATGATGTGGATATGAAATGGAATAAAAGTGACGAGGATTTAGATACATTCATCACTCATGCCAACAACATACACCCAAGTATCAAATTTACTCATGAGAAATCTAAATCCAAAATCACCTTCCTCGATACCTCCAGCTCGCTCACAGATGGCATCATATCCACTGATCTATATTCTAAGCCTACTGACACTCACCAATATCTGTCCCCTAAAAGTTGCCATCCTGCTCATTGTACTAAGAGCATCCCGTACAGTCAGGCACTCAGAGTCAAGCGAATATGTTCCAACTCAGAAACAACTAAAAAACAACTACGTCAACTCGAAACCCGCTTGAAGAGAAGGGGCTACAAACACAAAACTATCCAAAAAGGCTTTCAGAAAGCGGAAACTATTCCAAGGAGTAAACTGTTAGAATACAAATATAAAAAGAAAAATAAAAGGACTCCATGTGTTCTTACTTACCACCCATCTCTCAAAAACAGCTTCGGTGTCATTCGTGAGCATTGGAAAACAGTTGAAAAGAATTCCAAACTATCCAAGATTTTTCCCGAGCCTCCCATGATAGCTTTTATGCAACCCAATAGTCTGCGTAACCTGCTAGTGCGGGCTGAAGTGTCTGATAATAGAAGTACTTCTGGAGAATGTCGTTCGTGTGATGAAAAACGCTGCAAATGCTGCCTACAGATGCATCACTCATCAACTTTTCACAGTAAGGCAACCGAAAATAACTATAAGATATTTTGCAATGTTAACTGCAAAAGTATGAATGTTATTTACATTCTAGAATGTTCGGTTTGTGGCCTCCAATATGTTGGTGAGTCAAAGCAGCCTTTCCACAAACGCCTCAATGGCCATAGGAGTGATATCTCTAAGAAGCCACTTCTCCCAGTTTCTCAGCATTTCAGACAGTCTGGTCACACACTTGATGACTTTAACCGCATGAAGATCCTAGTGATTGAACAGAACATTCACTGGAGTGATGCCCAGCGACAGGTTCGGGAAAGCTTTTGGATAAAGGAACTAAATGTACATCATCCAAACGGCATCAATAAAAAATATTAAGTTTTATTTTTCACTCATTTTGGGTTGTAAATATACACAGTCACGTATATTTGAGTATTGAGTTTTGTTTTATATTATGATGTTCAGGATTTTGGATTAAATCAATAGACCAAAACTTACCTGTATTATTGAGCTATTTTTATACATATTATCAGTATTGTTAAAATAATTGACACCGAAGAAGGCTATTTGTTAAGCCGAAATATTTGTCAACACGATTTATTAACAACATCTTCGTATAATACCATCTTATATTAGTATCGTTGTGCAAATCTCTAGACTTATATAATTTTTTCCTTATCTGCACAGTATCGTCTATTCTAGACGATCCGGTACATAGTAAATTTGCTGGTTGGTCCTTTTTATAGACTTCTATATATATATATATATATATACATGATATACGTGGCACATTCCCTTCAGACATTATCGTAATTTTTCAATTCATGATGAAATAGACCAATTTCCTTAAGTAAAGTTAAAAAAACCATCAACTCGCCTTAATTTCCCTTCACGAGGTTTCATAGTACACAACGTTTTGTACAAATAGTAATTGCATGGATAATAAATTACAATTATACACTAAGATAGCGTTGTACTCTAATCAGGATTTTAATGACCATATTTGTTATTTTTTATTTAAATGAAAGAAACTTGCAATTGTCAAAAAAAAAATTTAAATCCACAGAACTTAATAGCATGATATTTAAAAATCAATCTGAAAACTATTTACAAACTTTTCTTAATAGGGGACACAGCATGTTATTCCAAAATAACCAGTGCTAATTTTTCTTTTTTAATATCTTGATTACAATACAATGAAACCTTACCCTTGTGGTCATTCATAGATATAGGAAGATGTTGTATGAGTGCCAATGAGACAACTCTCCATCCAAGTTACAATTGATAAAAGTAAACCATTATAAGTCAAAGTACGGCCTTCAACACGGAGCATTGGCTCACACCGAACAGCAAGCTATAAAGGGCCCCAAAAAATTACTAGTGTTAAACCATTCAAACGGAAAAACCAACGGTCTAATCTATATACAAACGAGAAACGAGAAACACGTATGAACTACATAAACAGACGACAACTACTGTAATCAGATTCCTGACTTAGGACAGGTGCAAAAATTTGCAGCGGGATTAAACGTTTTTAATGGTACCAAACCTTCTTCCTTTTCTGAAACAATAGTATAACATCACAACATAGAAAAACATAGTTACTTAGTACATGGAAAAGGATGAACTATGAAAATTAGAAGGCAAATTCAAGCAACTTGATTGGACGAGAAGTTGTAAGTATGTACTAAATTGTATTTCAATTATATGATTTCTTATGTAGAACAATGCATTGTATAAAGGTAAACAGTTTTTGTTTTCAAACAACATGTTCCACTATTTTGTTCACAATTAACGTCACTAGCCAAGTATTCCAGTGAAAGGTTCCAGTATTCTAAATATTGTTTCCGATAGAATATTCTTTTTTACAGTCATCGCCTTGTTTTCCGGAAGTATTATAATTGTTACTTTAGGTTTTCTATGAATTTCTTAGTTGTAAATTATTTAACCCTTCTCTTGGAAAAGCCAGCTTTAATTGGCACAATTAAGAAATCAAGTATGTATTTATCTTGAGCATTTATAAAATATCGTTGTCCAAAATGTTAATTGTTTTTATCGATAGTGTCATTTAATATATACTATATATAATTCTGACGAAAATCCATTTTTTATGAAGGGATTTTCCACAAATAATTGTGAAGATATTTTACTGTTCTTTTTTTTAATTTGTTATGCTTGTTTTTTTCATACATTCAAATACTATTCTAGCATTTTATTTAAACATGGAGTCTAGTTGATATACATCCTTTGCTTTCAAATATTCGGCTATGAGCATTCCTGATGAAGGTAAATCCATAAAAGTGATTCGGATGCATAGAATTTATAACATGTTGTTTTCATTTTTTGATACCACGAACATGAATACAAATGATAAGGAAAACGTTGGCAAACTGATTGACTTTCCAGTTATTTAAACTTCCAGTAAGCTATCTTTTTATCCACCTGATTTTGATACAGCTTATGTATTGATCGATGTTTATAATTTTTAGACCACTTTCTAGTCTCTCTATACTTGATACTCTACATTTTACTTCTTTTCTATTTGGCTATTCTATATATTTTTTTTAAATTTCATAATATCCTCTTCCAAATATATGTATAAACATTGTTTAAAAGGAAAATGATTTGATAAGTGTTACTCTGCCCAACATAGTTAAAATCGTTTTTTTTTCTCAAGCAGCAGTATCAATCCAGTGTAAGAAAATGAAATACACACTGCATTGCTTGTGAGTTTCGAAATATCATTTCTTGATTGATTTTCATCAGGAAAACTCAAAACTAAACATTGAAAAGCCATGAGTATATGAACAATGAACAAGCTCTATGAAAAAAAACCAATACAGAATAGACAAAGCAATTCCAGGTCAACCTTGCCTGATGAAGTGTAAATCTAAACTTCTCTATTTTTTTTACTTTCTTCACATTTCCCAACCGACTATGAAAAAATTATACTCCTCATTAGTGACATAACTGTTCTTGGCAAATGATTGTTCGAAATTTCAATTATGACGTTAAATTTTCTTGATTTCTTCGGAATTTCCTATTGTGACATCATGAAAAAGCGACCATGCCCGATGACGTCTCATATAAAGATCAACAAATTTCTGCAAATCTTGGAAAAGGAAAGATAAACTTGTTTTGACATAGTCTAAAAATCATCAGAGAAACAGATTCCACCAGTAAATCTCGTGTATTACGAAATGTTTCCACTCTCAACAGTTAAATTTTGAATATTTAAAAAACTCGGCAAGCCTCGCGTTTCAAATTTTAAAATTTAACTGTCTTGAGTGGAGAAATATCGTAATACACTTGGTGAAGTGGTGGAATCCATATGTCTTTATAATTTCTATATCAATTATAAATTTAAGAAATGTATGTCAAACAACTTACTACTACGCTGACGATACCTTCGAGAACACAGTACATCAGAACAGTTTTCACATTGAAAACGATACATTAGAAATAAGACGCGTCTAAAGCTTTTTCCTAAATTGACTCTCATCTCGATATGACATATGAAAATCGGTGATATATAACTAGTGGTTGAGGTTTAAAACCAGAAGGAACTAAAACGGAGTAGACAAACCATCTAAGATTACTTCAATAAGGGAATAAAATTCTTACGGCCTTAAGTTCACAATCCAGCTATCAAAAGATAATGTATGTTATAAATAATGTCAGTGGTAAAGAATATAGTAACAGGCTGATTATACTATAGTTATCCAGCAGCAAAATCCAGCTCGTATTTGAATAACTCTTTAAAGGCTTAGTGCGTCCGATGCACCTTTGTTGATCGACTTTTATCAAGAACGGTATTAATAGGAACGCTGAAGGCCGCGACCGAGGGGGTAGATGCTGACTGAACTTTATCATTTATTTATGACCAAATAGGACCTAACGAAATACCTAGACGCATCTGATGTATATTATTATTCGTGTCAATGTACAAACTAAAGGATATCTAGTTCTCCTAGGTATAGTACCGACTTAGTGTTATGAATTACAAATGACCTTTCATACACCTGTTGCGGGCGAAGAGCTAACCTGGATTTACTTTTGATTTTTATTGAAATAACCGCACGTTAACTTTCTGCATTAAACGTGCGTTAAAATATTGTCATGGTTTTCTGCATGTACTAACTTCTACTATGATCAGCAATATTCAAATGTTCACCTATCAATGTTCGATTAACAACTACCTTATAATGCATGACAGGACTCTCATTTGATAATGATTGTTGTGTATATATAGAAAAATATTTTTGTCTTTAATCCTGAACAGGTTCTTTTAACGAAATTTGTGTTTTATATATTTTATTGTTTTTGTACACAAAACTTGATTGTTCCATAAATCATCTCTTTTCAACTGTAGGGAACGATATTTGAAATACCTGGTGTAAGAACTTCGTCTGTATTACAGGTTTTTCTGTAGCACGAACAATCTTCTTCTGTAGGATCACAGTAACATCTATTCCTTGAACTATTGAGAAAAGTATAGTAATTAGTATAGTCACATCGACATTTTCTGTCTCTGGTTGTCGTTCCATTGTTGAACGGTACCTGTCCTTCTTCGTTGCACATTGACTTAAGATACTGACAGTCACTGCTACCATTTGTCCACCATTTATGTGGTTGGTATTTGTTGCTATAACATGGTCTTCCAGCAAAATATTGTAAGTTTCCGCTAATTACAAATATATTCCCTGCAAAAAAAATCCTTACATATGCAATTTTGATACTTCAATATCATTTTGCTTTTTCACTTTTATTTCATCTGGTATATAATCAAAATTAAACACCAAGACTTCTGTTAAAGCTTTTGAAACAAACTTTATGGTAATATAAAGTGATGATATTATATATGGAACTTCTTTCTAATAATGCATTCACACTTGTAAGTGAAGGGTATTTGGGTAAGATTATGAACCATTCAATTCAAATAAAAAGAAAATTACTGACTAGTTACGAAGACCGGTGTTTGTACATTGTAGACCAATACAAATTATTAAGGACTTTGACATACAAATTACATGTAAGAGTACTCTTAATCCTTACGTTTTCAAGAACTGAAAGTAGCTCTTAGTCAGCAACACCTCACTGCATCGCATAGTTTTGATAAAAGGTTTCTATAAGCATCAGAGCGGCACAGATTTATCATATTTTTTACTTTACTCTATACCGATAGCATAACAAAGATACATCTAGACGACTTAGTTAGTATGTATACATAGGAAGAATGAAAATATATATAGAAACGTGCGAAGACGTTAACGTTTGTATAAATGAGACAAGAACCGAACGACAATTGCAGTTGAATATATTTAGACAAACAATCAACATATACCAAGCCCTAAACTACTAGATCGTAAAACAAATTTGATTAAATCTTACATAGACTTTAAACGACCTCTTATTTACACGAAATGATGTAAAGGAATAACAAGTATAACTAAAACAATCACTAGCACAACTGTATTTGTGTTTAGGTTAATTGTTTTTATACGCAAGCCTTCTCCTTGTTCAAATGTTGTAATCGATGATTTATATAAGAGGTATAATACATATTTTTTTTTTTATATTAATGGAAACAATTTTTTGCATATGCTATATTGCATTTACATTTTTTACATGTAAAAAATAAGATCAATCGTTCATACAGCTTTAATGTTCAATGGGTTATCTTTATTATTGTGTAAAATTTCAATACTGACCCTATGTGTCGTCCTGTATTTCAATGCTCCTTCAACTGCTAGTATATTTGTTTTACTATTATCAATGATATTGTAATAGACATACCTGGTCTATGAAAGTCAGGTTTGTCTTTACAGAGTTCTCTGAATTTTCGTGCATTTGTATCATATAGACACATGTATTTATCTTTATCACCGCACATGTTCTGGGCCCTCAAGTTCCACATCACTTTGTCTGGACAACTATTCAAGAATAATGCCACTGCTATGTGAACATGCAAAAGCATAATAAGCACAAATAACTGAAAAAAAGATTAGTCTACACTTTTTGTTTTACACACATAATAATTTATCAGTTTGATTAGTGTTGGAATACTATCATGCTCTATATTTCGTTATTTCTTATCCGTGGTATGTATGAATGTTTTTGTACAATTGTTGATCAAACATAAAAAATGAAGTGCAATTTGATCTTAACTTCAATTTCAGAACTTCTCTCTATATTGCTATATTCAAAATGAATTAATTGGTTGCTTCGTAACAACGATTATAGTCTCATTTTGTTGTGATTGATGATTATTCTAAAAGCTGAATAACTGCTGATTGCTTTGCAATTTATCTTTAGAAAGGTAAAAAACAAACACACTATGCACACATATTTCTTTTATCTAGCTCCATAGAATTGAATGATAATTGCTTAATGTGTGTTAAGCTTTGTTGATTTTTTTTTAGACTTTTAACCGACACTTACATATGGTGAAAACAGTCTCATATTTACAGGTTTTAGCATCTTCTATGGAAAAAGGGTCCTACAATACACAATATGATAGGCTTTAATCGAATGCATTGATTTTTGCTAGATTAACTGGACAAATATACGCATAGAAAAAAAATATTTTGACTTAAATAAAAAAAATAAGATTCTGCAAACCCCTTTGTATCATAAATTGACACACCCAATTATATCATATAAATGAAATCAAGGCGTTTTGCTGATGTTTTCGCATTGTTAATACTTTAGGACCTCCGAATTTTCGGAAATTGTACTATCAACTTTTACGCCGCAAATGTGATCCTAATTATGATTTTGATGCAAACATGTTTTGAAATGGTTCAGGTTTGTGCATATCGTCCAACACCATTATTTTACTAAAATTGAAAATGGAAATGGGGATGTGTCAAAGAGACAACAACCCAACCAAAGAGCAGAAAACAGCCGAAGGCAACCAATGGGTCTTCAACAAAGCGAGACAATCCCGCACCCGGAGGCGGGCTTCAGCTGGCTCCTAAACAAAAATGTGTACTAGTTCAGTGAAAATGGACATCACACTTACCCCAAAACATATAAATAAATTAAAATTTAAAAAAATATAAAGGCTAACAAAGGCCAGAGGCTCCTGATTTAGGACAGGTGCAAAAATGCGGCGGGGTTAAACATGTTTTGTGAGATAAACCTCCCCTTATACCTCTAGCCAATTTAGAATAAACAAACACACAGCAATACGCACAGTAAAACTCAGTTTAAAAGAAGTCCGAGTTCGATGTCAGAATAGGTAACAAAAGAAACTAAGAAAAATGACAATGATATATAAATCAACAAAGGACTACTAGCATTACTGACATGCAAGCTCCAGACCTCAATTAAATTGGTTGAAAGATTATGTCATCATCATATGAAAATCTAGCACAATCCCTCCCGTTAGGGGTTTATTATCGTACCATCATAAACTATATGAGAAGAATATTACCCGCCAACAACTGGTTTTAGAATAAATGTGTTTATTTCCGATGCAAAGGCCCTATGAGTGAATCAATTGTATACCAAAATATCTTTAATGACATGACAACAGTATCGTAACTATATCTCTTCTGAATAAGTCTGTTTAAAGGTTTGGTTAACTTTTGAGGTGAATGCCGACATTTCTATGCTTTGTATAGAATATTTCCATAAAAGATTGGATGTGAAATACCTAAACGTATAAGATGTCTGCATGTTGATTTATATTTGTTTACTTCTGTTTGTTCTATTTGTTGAAATTCAGATTCAAAGGCCTTTTAATTTAGTGAAGAGAATTTCTTTCAATCTAATTCATGTAATTTCAGGTTTGAGATTTGGTTCATAACGTTTAGTATTCAAAAAAAATGAGTTGAATAAAAACAGACAACACCATGCCATATAGACGAAACGACGAAAAAACGAAAACAACAATACCTAGATTTGTAATTACTAGCAATAACGGATGGCACCCTCGTCCCCCCATTGCTATGGTAACGGCAGCCATTTTGAAAATTCCAAAGTCAAACTGCAACTCTGCAAATGCCAGTTACCATTTCTGTAAGTTTCATTCAGTTAAGAACACTTTGATTTTTTTCGCATTGTTGCTTTTTCCATGGAAACGGCGGCCATCTTGGACAATTCCAAAGTCAGATGCACAACTTCACATCAATATATGCAAAGTCCATCTTTCAGTGTAGTTTTTGTTGAATACATGTATCTTTAAAAAAATTTGGGCCAATACAACTCCACAAATAAGGTTCCTTTCTCTTAATGTATTAACCAGACAATATATGATACTACAGAAGAGATAAATAGATTGGAAGGCAATAACAAATATGTAGCAACATAAAAAGTACTAAAACTTCCATGAGGAGAGATTTTTAAAAGATAAAAAAATAGTGGGACATTTTTTGCATTCAGTGATAAATGAAAAATGCAAAAATATTTCGATTTCTCTTCTGCAAATTTTAGTAGCAAACTAGATTTATTTTGATTAGAAATAAACGTTTTCAATACTTCCCTTTTAAAACAATAAAAAGGAGGTAGGTTCAATTTACCATGAATTCATATAAAAACAGGGTCATATTTTAAAAGTCGTTCAATGTTTACTGAAACAAACAGAATCTCATTCATATGTTTACTGTCAGGTGTAAAAAAAACATCAATTTTTCCAAATATTTCACTTAAAATTCATGAATGCCTACAGATGATTCTGAACAATTGCAATATTGCTAGAGTTTGGAAATATTTGAGCAATTATCCAAATATTTTCAAAAAGACTTTCTTAACCGACAGATCGAAATTCTATTCAAAATATATACATAAATGTTCTTTTAAGTACAGCATAGTTTTTAACAGGGCTAAATTCTTCCTTCTATGCAAAATTTTAAATTTACTATTTTTTTGTTAACAGCTACATATCATTAAATATTTTATGAAATAGGAAACATAATTGGTCTAATAACCACGAGTATGTTCTATAGACTTCAAATTCTAGTATGTCTTAAAACTTTATGATTTTATCCGAGTTAGTTAAACAAATTAATTCCCCTATATCTTTAGAATAAAACTAAATAATTGAAAAACCGATGTCCACACTCACCAAACAAACATGATTTTTAAAGTCTTAAGACCCTCGTCGCTTCCTTCATACGTTGTTGTACTAATAATCGATACCAGGCTGTGTATATTAATAATAAAACGGTTCATATTATCTTTGTTAGCATGCAGGACCAGAGGAACAAAAAACAATTGCATGAATTCCATGCGTGTAAAATTTGTGATGCCAGAGAATATCAAAAAAACAATTCGATTTGGATGGAAAGACTGAGAACAAATGGTTTGAATATTGTGTTTTTTTTGCAAAATACTTTTATTTGCGCTGTTTTTTTTATTTTTTTCCAAGGTGTCGCTTCGATATATTGATTATATTATGATATCGAACAGTTGATACTTTTTGAAACTGACACTGCTTAACCAAACGTGTGTTTCTTTGTAGGACTTATCTACTTAAACACATTCTACTTATTAAGAATACTCCTTCGCAACGGTCCAAGATAGATACTAAATTATTTACCAAAACTGCTCGTTGCATTCTCAGGTATTGAGATCATTATAACTGAAGCTATCCGAAGACTTCATCACGTTTATATCTTAGTGATGTCTTTTTATGCGTGCGACATAAGTGAAATGTAATTGTATATCATAAAGTGATAGATGCATAGGGTTTTCAATTAATGTTTTTGATCCGCGAAACAGAGTATCATTAGGTCAATATCCAAGGTCAAGGTTATGTTCATTGTTCATTACTTATGCTAGTCATCCTCTCCCCTCAGACCCTTTATAATTACTCAAAATATATATATACTAATTTGTTAGTTAAACCTTTTTAAAACTGAAAAAAAATGATCATAAGGTTATGGTGTCATCAAAATACTTTCTTACCTCAAAATATTAAGATGAAAATTTGCATTACTTCAAATTTAAAAGATGAAGACATGTAAGCGTTCCACAATAGGTTGACAGATGTATGACATTGAAAGGTTAACCGAGAATGACCTTCTGTAAATCGAAAGTATACATTGTTTTCATTACTTTCATATCAAAATACATACCATTATATATTTATGAAATCAGAAGTACCAAATTATGCACCTCATTAAAAACGAAAAAACAGTTAATCTACACCTTATTTGTTTAGAATAACTGACTGTTGAATTGGCCTTCAATTGTCACCAGCAGTGACTATGACCAACCATGGATACAAATCTACCTTATTATAATGAAAAACGTCTTTTTTTTTTCTGTGTCTCTTTTGACACTATATCTACTATTTTTCATCCAAGACTTCTTCTGAGTAAGTTAAATGTGGGATGAAAGACTTATATTTGTCTATAAGCAATTCGTTTTTAATTATATACAGATTTTTTTGTCTATAAAAAAAGAAAGAAATATGCATTTTCAGTTACTTTGATTTCCCTTTGTCTTTTTTCAAACTTTATCCGGTGCATATCAGGTCAAATCTAGAAGTTAAACCATACACAAACAGATTTAAATGTTTAATATCTATACTTTGTACTCATTTCAAATCGTTAATAGTATCTCCATGGATATCATGGATATGGAAAAATTTATTCCTTGAATATGTAAAATCATGGGATCATGAGTTAGAAGTCAATGAGACCGTTTGAAACCATATCAAGGGTTGCTGTTTATATCAGGTAATTGAGAACAAGTTTGTGATGCTTTTATTTAAACCAGTACTAAGGAATACTGTGTTGACTTGCAATATCTTTGAGATGATCATTACTGTCTGTATGTAAACGGTTCATAATATGCTGAATTATTCGATACACCTAGGCCTTTTTTTCAAGGCATACAGTTCCGTTACAAGATTTGTCATTGTATTATTGGAATATTTTGATCTACTTCAAAGAAGTATTTGATGTACACTTTCGACCGTTTTGACTTGACTGCTACCAATGACACTGGCGTCATATGTTTGGAGTTTTGGGATTTCAATGGGTTTTTTTTCTTCACTTTAGTATAGCTACTCGGTTTGGCTGTAAACTATTTTGATTAGAGCGATATCGATTTGTAATGACCATAAATAGCACGACATATGTAAAAAATGGATCAGGATCTGCTAACCATTCCGTAGCACCTAAAATCTTTGGCAGTTTAGTTGGGGATGTGTTGCTAAGTCTTGGTGTTTCAGTAGTGTTATGTGGTCTCGTTTGTTATTTTTCCTCTTTGAGGTTATTTTACATGCTGTTGTCAGTGTCTCTCGACCTATGAGTTTTTAATTCTCCCTTGGTATCTTACGTCTTTCTTTTTCTGTAGACAAAACACGACACGTATCTAGTGCATCATACTATTAATCTGTTATCTCTGATTATGTTTATGTATATCAAACGCACATATGGCAAACCAAAATAAAAGTACGTCTACGATTGAAGCCCAAGCTTGTATTGAAGACATAAAACAATGATACATTTTATAAACCTTCGGATTTTGATGCAAATGCAGAAGTG